GTAGGGAGGCACGGGGGCGCAGGGAGGCAAAGGGGCACCGAGACGGGGGCGTAGGGAGGCACAGGGGTGCCGACACGTGGGTGCTGACATGGGGAGCTGGTCCAAGCACGCAGGAGGGCTCGGGGACACAAACACATGGGGACATGGCGACTGCCATCGAGTTGCTCGCTCAGCTCCAACCGGGCTCGGCCAGGCAGGGACAGGCCATCTCAGGGCCTGGAACACGCTGACGTGCAGGAGCTGTGAGATGCTGAGCGCCACAGGCAAGGACCGCACCCAGCACCTGGCACCTGGCACCCAGCACAGCATGGAGGCTGGCCTTTTCCCTCCTCCAGCTCCCCGCGGCCAGGTGTGAACCTGACCACGAGGCCCACAGCATTCAGACACTTGCAAAAGAGCCTGCCCTCCCAGCCAACAGCACCCTCTCGTGGCCACTCCCTGAGGCGGGCAGCCCTGCACCGCTGCGAACCTGCTCCTGCTGGCCAGTGTCCTGGGTGCTGTCCTGAGGCCTACGAAAATCCCTCTCTTAAGGTTACCAGGGCTCATGTGCACGAGGGAAACAGACACAGGAAGAAAGTACCTCCCGGTGCTCACCGCACAATCCTGGCTCCATTTCTGCACTCTGGCGGATTCTGGGTATGCACACACCTGACATGGCCCTCAAACCACTGGGGCTGGGACTGGGACTGCAGCGGGCCATGTAGGGTCTGCTCCCTAACCCTGTGGACCACAGGGGCCTGCAGAACGACCCTTTGAGGCTCTGCCCAGCTGCAAGGACACGCACACTCAGGCCTGCAGCCCATGCCACTATCCTCGCTACTCTGCACCCTCCTCGGGGTTGACGGTATGTATGTGCGGTGAGTGCGTCTCGGCCGACGGGACCGGAGGGCCAGGCTGGCGGCCACTTTGCGAGGGAGGACAGGTAAGGATAGGCGAGACTCCTGGGTGGGCCCCCAGCCACGCAGCTGCGCTCACCAGCTTCCGGCTCGTGGACCAGGCTGAGCCCAGGTGGGCCGACATGTCACTGCCCCGACAGCAAATACTGGCCCACTTGGCCAACAGGCCCAGCACCCACCTGTGCACCTTGGAGCTGTCGTCGCGCAGCGGGAAGAGCTGCTCCTCCACCTTGTCCCAGCGCTCCAGGCAGCTCCACAGCCAGCCGGGGCTCACCACGTGCACATGCCCGCTCTCCTGCGCCTGCCGCACCTTCTCTGTGCCTGTGGGGAGGCCGGGCGCATTAGGCCGCTCTGCTCAGATGGGCACACACCGCAACCCGGGACACAGCACTGCACGGCCTCGGTGTGGGAGCGCCGCTCTGGCTAGGACCCAGTCCCCCACTCCTCGCTGGCAGGCGGCCTTGCG